AAGTTTGCGGACGACACTACAGTGGTGGGTCTTATCACCAACGGTGATGAGACGGCTTACAGGGAGGAGGTCAGCGCCCTGACCCACTGGTGTCAAGACAACCATCTCACCCTCAACGTCGCAAAGACAAAGGAGTTGATAGTGGACTTCCGGAGGTGCAGAGAAGTACACACCCCCATCACCATCAACGGCGCTGCTGTGGAGAGAGTGAGCAGCTTCCGGTTCCTTGGAGTACATCTGGCTGAGGATCTTACGTGGTCAGTACACACAAACAAAACAGTGAAGAAGGCGCAGCAGCGCCTCTTCTTTCTCAGGAGACTGAAAAGATTCGGCATGAGCCCTCGCATCCTCAGGACCTTCTATCACTGTGCCATTGAGAGCATCCTCACTGGATGCATCACCACCTGGTATGGCAACAGCACCGCCTACAACTGCAAAGCTCTCCAGCGAGTAGTGCGGTGCTCTGAACGGATAATTGGAGGTGAGCTTCCCTCCCTCCAAGACATCTACAGGAAGCGGTGCCTGAGGAAAGCGGGGAGGATCATCAAGGACTCCAGTCACCCCAGCCATAAACTGTTCAGACTGCTTCCATCAGGAAGGAGGTTCTGCAGCATCCGGTCCCGTACCAGCAGACTGAGAGACAGCTTTTTCCATCAGGCCATCAGACTGCTGAACACGTCATAGACACCTCAGCTTCACTACTGGAACTTCAACATTATGCACTCCACACTGTATATAAATGCCACTTGTTTTGCACATATTCAACTCTGTATATTTTATATATTTTATTATTATTATTATTATTTTTTTTTTTTTTACTATTTAATTTGTAAAAATGTGTATACACACACACACACACACACACACACACGTAGGAAAATATTTAGTATACACATCCAGAAATGCATACACTATTATATATTGTACATATATTTATTAGTTTCAGGTTGGCCATTCTTGTATTTTGCTCGTTTGTGTTGTTGTGTTTGCACATCTCTGTTGCTTGTGGGGCTCGCACACAAGAATTTCACTCGCATGTGCTGTGCCAGTGTGCCTGCACATGTGATGTGACAATAAAAAGTGATTTGATTTGATTTGATTTGAGGGCCCGGTGGCGCCAGTGTCCGGCAGCCTCGCCTCTGTCAGTGCGCCCCAGGGTGGCTGTGGCTACAATGTAGCTGCCATCACCATCACCAATGGGTGGATGACTGGATGTGTAAAGCGCTATACAAATACAGGCCTTTTACCATTTATAAGGTTTGACATGTTGTGCAATCAGAGATGCTCTTCTGCATACCTCGGTTTGAGTTACTGTTGCCTGTTTCCCTCTGACCACTGACATCAACAAGGCATTTTTGCTGGACGTGTTGTCTTTGTTTTTTTCTGCCGGACAGACTAGTTACCCTCCGAGCAAACTCAGAGAGCAGGCAGGACGCCCGTACCTGTGAGAAGTGGATCGAGAGAGGAGAAGGTTGCTGCTGTTCATGTAATTGCGACACCACAGCACGCAACACATCAAATCAGAGCACTACTGATTACTTAAAATTAGAGCAGTCAGCTGGCAGCACTTCAGTGCGTGTAAGGCAGGTGCTCCTAAAGTAGGTTACAGACGTGTAGCCTCCAGAGTGCAGCTAGCTGTACGTTGGCATGCACCTCAGGGTGAGAACGAGCACACGTCAAAATTACATCCCTGACTTTTATAAATAGGCTCATACGGGGGAGATGATAGAAGCCATTAAGACATCGTGTGGGTGTGTTAGCCCTCTCTAAGTCAGATGGAAACAACACCGTGGCAGCAGAGGCGACAGAGCCGTGAACGTGCAGAGTCAGGACCGGGCTTTTCCATGTGTGCACGCACGCACAGACTCAAACATGACTGAGCAGTCATGAATAATGAATTCATGCTCGAGGAGGAAGAAGCCCAGGATGTTTGATGAGTCGTGTAAAATGAAAGCACAATGCAAGTAATGAAGCGTGCTGCAGACATCCAGAGAGAACTCAGAGGAGGTCGTGTGTTGTTGTTGTGTTGTTGGGGTTTTTCCCCGTTGTGTGGTATTTCCTCACCGCCTCAAGTCCGGCCTTAAGAACAGGAACTTCTGTGTCAATTAGCCAATTTTCATCACAAAATATAGAAATCACATGCGGGGTCCCCCAGGGCTCCGTCCTAGGGCCCCTCTTATTTAGCATTTACATGCTCCCGTTAAGCCAGATTATAACCACCAATAATATTAACTACCACAATTATGCAGACGATACTTAACTTTATATCTCAATGTCACCAGGTGATGTTGAACCTATCCAAATTAATAACTGGATGTCTCATAAGTTCCTTCAACTGAACAATAACAAAACTGAAGTACTTCTCTTTGGACCCAAAAAAGAGCGATTAAATATCAGTAATCAGCTCAAGCTGGTCCAACTAGAAACTACCGACCAGGCCAGAACTTTAGGTGTAATAATGGACTCAGACCTGAACCTCCAGGGCCACATCAAAGTCATAACAAAGTCAGCCTCCTATCACCTGAGGAACATTTCTAGGATTAAAGGACTGATGGCACAATTAGACCTAGAAAAACTCATCCATGCATTTATCTCCTTGATTACTGTAACAGTATCTTCACAGGTTTACCCAGAAAACCAATCAGACAACTGCAGCTGATCCAGAACGCTGCTGCTCGTGTTCTCACTAGAACCAAGAAAATAGAGCACATTACTCCAGTTCTAAAGCCATTACACTAGCTCCCTGTAGCTCACAGAATAGACCTTAAAGTGCTTTTATTAGTTTATAAATGCTTGAATGGGTTAGTGCCAGAGTACATTAGGGATCTGCTGTCATGGTACAAACCATCCAGATCAGTCGGGTGCTCCAGCTCTCGTTTACTGACCGTCCCCAGAACCAGAACTAAACCTGGAGAAGCAGCTTTTAGTTTCTATGCCCCTCACATCTGGAACTATCAGGAGACTGCAAAGCTGCAGAGACACTGAACTCTTTTAACTCTAAAATTAAAACTTACTTATTTAGACTTGCTTATGAGTAACTGATCCTATTATGGCTCTCTACTGGTTTGTTTTAATTTTTCATATAAATTATTGTCTTGATTATTGTTTTATTGTAAATGTTTTCTTGTATTTTACTTTTATAATGTTTCATGTTTTATTTTAATCATGTAACGCACCTTGAATTGCCTTGTGCTGAAAGTGTGCTACACCAATAAAATTGCCTTGCCTCTCCCCCTCCCTCCCTCTCAAACGCTACATCTCTTTCTTCCCTCGCCTCCTTTCTTCTTCTCCTGGCCCCGGCTAAGCAGGAGAAGCTCGATCGTGAGCTTTTGTTTAAAAGACGCCTTCAAAAAAGCACAAGCTGCTGTGGATTTATCTGCCAAGCTCTTAAAAGACCATTTTAGACTCACCACTGGCAAAGGGAAGATAAAACAGTCGTCCTTTTATTTCTGCCCTGTTGTTCTGCTTCGCTTTGAACTACGTCACACGGAGCAGAGGGTAGCCCTCAGGTCCACCTGCCAAAGCTGGCAGTGACTCACTCCTGCACCTCTTACTAGCTTTTCTGTGTCTGATGAGAGACACGGAGGAATAATGGTGGATAAGACCGACTAATACACACACATATATGTATATCTGATATTTATGTATCAGAATGAAGAGTTTTAATCTGGATTATTGTTTAGGAATTTTGCTATGGAAGCAACATGATGCGTTTATTCATTCTTTCCTCGTTGCCAATAGCTGTTCTCCTCACTCGCTCCCTCGGGCATTAAATATGCTTCCACACCTCAACAGTGCCATCTGCTGTTGTGCTGTCATTTATGCTCCTAATGCAGAGTTGCTGCTGCCAGATGGGTGTTTTGTAACCACTGATAACCAGGGTTGGAGACAGGTTAGTGCCAAATTCCTCTCAATGCACAAGCAGCCCAGGAACGGGCTTTTCAGGCCGATTTCTGGACTGCAGCGGGACATCTCGCCAGCTTCTCAAAGCAGGCTTTCATATCGTTTGTATGTGGTGTCGTAACAGACACTGGTGGGACTGGTTTATGGCTCTGTGAAGTGGCTTCTCTTGCTCAAGGCCCAATATTTAGTCCTTATTTTAAAATCCTCCCCCTCTAATCAAAGCAAACTTGCTTACTTAAAATCGTCATCTTAAAAAAACTGCACTCCTGGCTACTATGGTAACAGCACGTGTGGTTTAAGACGACAGCAAACACATGTTGTTTTACAGGTCAGCATAAAGTGACAGCAGGAGGGCGCAGAGCAGAGCGCTGACGTGTTTTCAGTAAGCTTTAGTACATTTCTCCCCGATGGTACCGTAGAGAAAAATCTAGTAATGTCTGAAGGCTGTGGGAGTTTTTCCTTCCCACTGTCGCCAAGAGCTTCCAGGATAAAGGCTGTGATTTGGTGCTGTATAAACTGGGATACAGGACAAAAAGAAGAACATCTGCACCATCTAAGATTACAGTTGTACAGTAATGATCCTTCCGCAGGTTCACCTACGGAAACCTTGTTACGACTTGTCACAGTTTTATTGACTGTGAAGCACTATGGTCAACACTGTTGTTTTAATATGTGCTATATAAATAAATTTTGATTTGATTTGATTTACATTTATGAGAAAAGAAAAAATATGGATGTTCTCTGAGATACATTTGCAAGACTCAGAAGATTTTGTATGTTTGATGTTAAAGTCTAACCTAAGCTCAGGTTATTATTCCCAAAAGTTTCAAACATCTCTCAAGTTTTTTCAGAACAATTTTTCCAGTTTGTTTCATAAGACGTTATAATATCAGAGAAAATCGGATTGTGTTCTTATTCTTGTAATAAATAAGTGACTTTGACCTCAGAAATTAGTTTTTTAATCTTTCCATTTACCTGCACTCCCTAAGATGCTAGTGTAGAAGAAAGAAACAGATGTTTGACTGTGTGAGGACGGAGGTTTCATCAATCAACAAAATGAAAAGCAGCTTTGATTTCACAAAAATAATTCTACTTACTATGAAAACGACACTCGCGTCTTAGGTGAGCTCTTCTTGTTCACTGACTGTTCTTCACACACTGCTCCCTTGCTACAAAGCTGATATCGCAGCCGGCACTCACCTGAGCGGATGACTAAAAATGCATTTTCCAGAGCAAAGTGTGTGTTTGTATTTGTGTTGTCTGTTTGAACCCCGGGGCCTTGGACGCAGGAGCAGCCACAGATTTGCGCCGGCTCAGTGTCTGTATCTGGCACGTCACTGAGCGTTTTATGTAAGAGCGCACGCACACGCAAGCAGACACGCTGCAACCTCCCCACCCCCCCGATTGATTATGCATGTTTTCTCCTCTCCTGCTCTCGAGCTCAATGAAGCAGGACCTCTGGTGGCGTGGTGATGTAAACAGCCGTAGAGCAAAGCGAGGCTAGGGTATCTTTGCTTACATCTCACGCTGTTGGCGAAGGAATGCATGAAAGGTGAGGCCCCCCCCTCCCCCCGGTGCCAGAGCGATGGAAACTGTATGAAACACGTCAAAGCTAAAGCCTTGTTGTTACAGACCTCGAGCGCTTTGAAGGGCGGATCACAGGCTCAGACTGACCTCTGCACCCTGTGCTCGTGTACTGGAGAGATGCACAGCCAATAACAAATGTGCCTTTGATAACAACAGAGAGGCAGAACAGAGTGTCCTGCAGGGCTCTTATGCAAGGAGACCTTGACCTCGGGGGGGCTGTGTGGATGCATCACCAAGAGATCATAAATTATTACTATATTTATCAGTCTGATTTATTGTTATTGTCTCCCTGTTGGGTTTAGTTCCCTGACAAAAGAATATTGAACCGTCCATATTAAGGGAAGCGATGACCAGCAAACTGAGTGTCGAGTATGTTCACTGTGTGCAGCTCTATCGAAGCAGCAAGTAGAATCATTTGGAAAGGGATAGATTTCAAATGATTCCCAATCCATGAAAAACAGAGTGACGGAGCACGGCATCGACAGGGCAGCGGTTCAGAGTAGGCGCTGTGGGACTCTGAGTGCATGGATGGTAATAGGTCATGTGGTTTGACATTTGCAGAGGTCTGCAGCATGTAAAGCAGCTCATCTACTGGCTTTGTTTGGTAAGATTATAAGCACAATGCATGATAAGGCTGGTTTGCATCTGTTATTATTTTTAACCTCCTCAGACCTGAACTCTTCCACAGCAGCATTTTTAATTTCTCTTTGATATTTGGGCTGATTGGGACCTGATGAATGTAAAAACAAAGAATCACCAGATTATTTTTTTTACCTTATTTTTGTTTTTAAGAAAAATGAGAGCCACTTATGAGGATATTCGATAGAACAGTAGCAGGATAATGTCCTCGTAAGTGGATATCAGGCCCTTGTTGAGCAAAATTGAGTATTTTTGTCTAAATAACCCAAAATGTGATGTCCACATATGTGGACGCAGGTCCTAGGAGGTTAAAGCAAAGCAGTGATGCTTGCATTTAAAAACAAAATACATTCAGCACTAAATTTACTGATGGATTCTTATAATTTGCTTCCAGGAAAAGCCATCGAATGTATTTACACTTCAGATTACCTCACTGTACAGGAGAGTCTCCTGTCTCTGTTTAAAAGCAGCTTTCCATGTATGACCAGTTTTATCCAGGTGACCTCCAACAACCAGTTGTTTAATACTTACTTTTCCATAGTAACTTGGAGTTGCTGGAGGGGGTGGGCACTGACCCATGTGTGAGTAGGGCTGTAGCAGCCAGTTTTACACCAATCACTCACTCGCTGGTCATTCTCATTTTTCCCTAGCAACCAGTGCCACCCCAACGATCACAGATGGTCTCTAGGTCTGGGTTGGTTGGAGCCTAGATTGTAGTCAGAGTCATGATGATGTCACGATAACATCATAATAGGGTCATTGTGTGATGGTGGCTTGTTAGGATAATCCTGTCACATCACCTGCATGTATTTATATTTTAATTTGCATTTGGCGCCATATCGCCTTCAGAAACTACGATATCTTTTGTCTCACCTTCACTGTGGACGTTTGAGTGGATAAAACTTGATCTTTCTCGTGTTCCACAGCTTTCACTCATATCTGGCAGTGCTGCCCACTTTCATTAGCAAGATGAGCTCGAAAGCTCAGCGAGAGGTAACAGAAACTTGGCAGCGCTGGTCAAAATGAAAATACTTCCTGGTTAAAGGTCCGGGGATTTGGATTGACTGCAGAGTTCGTCATGGGTGGCGAGTTTAGCTCAAACTGCAGAGAAATGCCAAACAGCTCGTCCTTATCTGCTGCTTCTCATCAGTCTCTCACACACACACATTACAGTGCAGCAGTTTTAGTATTAGCAGCTTCCAAACTGTATCAGAAACTGTGGATAGTAAATATAATGTCTTTAAATGCTGACCCTTGTGATGTCATCACTCAAAGCTTTTAAGCTGCAGTTTCAGCCGAACGCTTATCTGAAGAGCCGGCAGAGTTCAGCTAAAGAGAAATGCAGATCAGACACTTCCTGGAAGTTATTTTGGAGTCAAAGTCATTGTGCTGGTTGTTACTGATGAGCTCGTTTGAGTCACTTGCAGTTTCACGGCACTTTGGAGCTGCAATATTCATCTGCTCCATGATCCTGCAGTCGTTCTGTCAGTGTGAAATGGCCTTCAGTTAAGTGTGACGATTGAGTGTCTTTCTCTCCCACACGCGTTTCCTGTCCTCTCTCGCCCAGTCTCCCTGCCTCCCAGCGTTTGGATCAGCACCAGTACCAGCTTGCAGGCTGATTATAAAGGCTTTAATGTTCCATTTACCAGCAGCATGTTTCAGGTGGTGTGTGCTTGTTGACAGAATCAGCCTTGACACACACACACACGCATGCAAACCTTGCGACATTAGCCTTTATTAGAGCAGCTGCGCCTGTGCGCCTGGCCCTTGGCTGAGCGGTCTGGCACTGAGCCGGCTTTGATGGCCGGCTGCAAACAGCTGCCAGACCAGCAGGAGAGAACGACTTAATGGAGACGTTAACGGCCTAATATCTGTAAGTGTAAAGTCGAGGACACGGTCCCTTCAAGTGGTGACGAGCTCATTTTTGGTTGTTAAACTGTGATTGCGTGCCATCGAGTGAACGTTTTGTTGTTGCCTGTTTGCTCTTTCTTCATTTTTACGTAACTGTTTCATAACTTGTCAGATTGTTGGGGAACTGCAGTGGCGTTCTCTCTCGCTCCCCTCCCACCCCTTAAACATCCTTCCCGCATCCCTTCCTTGGCACCTTTCCTCTCCCCTCTCACTTAGCCTCCTCCTCCCTCTCCTCAACTCTTCCCGCGTCGTCCCGTAGGTCCACGTGCCTCCTCCCGTTCCTCTGGGGTTGGGGGATGATCTGAGGCAGAACCGTGCGGGGGAAGGAGGGAAGGAAGCCACTTTGCATTGATGCACAAAGCGTCCCGTGCATGCAAGCTGGCTCGCGCTGGCTGTCCCTGCCCTAAAGGGACTTCCAGCCTCGCATTAGTGTGGCTTCTCTGAAAGGGCAGATAAGGACCTGGATCATGGGTGTAAGCTCTGTCGTTCTCCCTCTCACACTTTGTCTGCCTTGCTCCTTTTTTCCTTTCGTTCTTTTGAAATTCTTCTGTCTCTTCTCATCTCTGTGCCCGCTGACACCCTCCTCCCCCGCATATCTTTTCTCTTCTGAACTTCTCTAAACTTCCCACTGCAGTCTGATCGGCTCACACTGCAGCAGAATTTACATGGGTGGGACCTCATTGTGGCTTTTATAACCTGAGCTAACACGGTCTAACCCTTACTCTCTGTGGTTTCATCCCTCATCTCCAAGTCACTGCAATCCATTTTCCCATTAGGATTCATGGCCTTGTCTCCTCCCCCAGTCTTAGTGCAGGATGGGGCAGCATCCTTGTTTCTGAGTGTGACGAGACTGTCTGCTGCACACATGGGCTTTGGCTTGCTGTAGTTGATCAGTATACAGACACGTGTATACATGCATGTATAGGTCCTGTAGCAGAGGCCTAGGAGTTTGAGGTTTCTGTGCATCTTAGCTGTTCCTCAAACTTCTGATGTTGTGCCTGGAACCTGCTGGAGTCACTGTTCCAGGTTCGGGGTTACAGGGCCTGATGCTCCTAATGGCACCGAGTATGTCTTTATTTTGTTGTTTGTCTGCTGGGATTCTCTCATCTATCGTTGTCAGTCACCACTGCGTGTGGTTGGTCGGCCAGCAGCTGCTTGTCTGTGTGGAACACTGGAAGCTCCTATGGGAGCTTGGAGACTTCATACGTGGCACAGATGTTCCTGTACGCTAGCACAGCCACTTGGTTGTGCCTCCCACTGTACACCATCCCAGCTTGCTTCTAACATCTCGCTGCTCTGTGCTGAGTCTCTGGGGCACTTTTGGACAGTCTGCATGGGTGATACAGTCAGTGGACTCCTGCCTCTGTGGTGCTTAGAGGATGCTCTTGTGCTGCTGTGATCAGAGCTTCTGTGCTGTCCTGTAACCTACACAAACACCTAACGAATGTTTCTGGATGTGCAAACAAGCAACTATATGCTGCATAAGTCATGTCACTTTAGCATGTGAGAGTCAATGAGAGTCATTACACTTCCAGTTCATCTGCTGTGTATTCCAGTATGGTTACATTGGCTTTTAAACAACAGAACATTACATGTCTCAGTCCTCATTGGCCCGAAGCTATACAACCAAGGGACAGCCAGCGGCTCTGGGAACTAGCTGAAAACAGATTCAACAACGGTGCGAACACTGAAAAACACCTTGGACTGCACTTCATTTGGGAATAAAGCAGAAAATTTGTCATGCAGGGTTTGGTTTAAGTAGAGAGGCTATGTGAGGTTTCCATCAAAACATGTGCTGCTGGTGTGTGACGTAACAGGATGTCACAGAGGGACAGAACCTGTGGTTGCCCCTCAAGAGTCCAGTGCTGGGAAGCGTCCTTAAATGCCCCTGTGTGCATGTGCTAATAACGAATAATGATTGACGGGTGCTCTCCTCTGGCTGCAGCCTTTGAAACTGATGAGTTCGGTCACCAAGCTGTCATCGGCTGCTATCCTTTTTAAAATATCACCGTTTAAACCAAAGCTGTGAAGGTTGTTGTGGTCAGCTTGTAGGGAGTTATCCTCTGACTCTGGAGTTATAGTCAGCTTTGCAGAGCTCTGTTGTGTGACTAAGTTCATTGTTACCTTGTCTGGGACACAATTTCACTCTTTCGCTTCAGGTGCACTGTATGGACACGAGTACTGGGCTACCTGCACACAACAGCTACAGGATCTGCTCAGC